AATCATCCGTTACATTGCTGGGTTCGGTTTATTTTTTTGATTAAAAATCTTAATCAAATTTTGACTCAATTTAATGTGAACCCTAATCATGATAATTGATTTGATTTATTTATGGAAAGTTTTGTGATTGCTTCTGATTTTCCTCCAATAAAATTTATAAGGATATATTCCTTTCATATTTTTTTAAATTAATGTATTATCTATATATATATATATAATTGTTGACAAGTTTCATTTAATTTTATTCAGCCTTCAATTAATAATAATATGAGTTCATTTAATAAAATTTTTATGACCTCCATCAAAAAACCGTTATAGCATTTTTTTTTCTTTTAATTTATTCCCTACAATCATCCACCTATTTTTTACTATATTTTGGATTTCTAACGGTTGAATGCGATTACCATTTTTAATTTTTGTATATTTGGAGAATGTAACTGTTGCATGATTACGAGATAATGTTTTATTGTAACTCCCACCTATTATTTTATTGTATCATATAATAGTATCTTTAATTAGTTGAATTTAATGAAAAATAATTATCCATTTTATTTTACATAATAAATATAGTGATAAATTTGAATACTTTTATGATGTTTATTTTTACTAACGACAAAAATTTTAAAATAGTATACTATTATTTCAAAATGGAGGGAGTAAGTTATAATAATTTAAATTTCTGTGCATATGCACCGAATCAATACTAGTGTTTATGAAATTCCATGCAATGTCCAAAGTATCATTTCAGCACTGTACTTGTAGTGTAAACGCTAACTTTGAGCAAGGGATTTGCAACTATACCGTATAACATAGGTGGGTAACTGATTCTGTTTGGACAAACGTGTAATGTAATATTTGCAAATATCCAAAATCAACCTGCCCTCTTACTGAACATAAATATATATATTTTTTTCTCTTGATTGTGTGTTATTGTCCCCTCCAAATTTGTGCAACTGCAGAAAAGAATTCTCAGCTTAGAAAATGCAAATCTCTTTTTCACATCTACATGCCAAACACCACCTTTGCAATAAAAATCAGTATAAAAGTATAAGTAGCTGAAAAACAAAAATACTACCAACCCTTTAGCCTAATCATCTCTTAGAAATCCACAAATACCTCAACAAGTGGATTCACACATAGTACCACAAAATACAAACCAACCTTACCCTGAAGAAGCACTTCCAAATTTCAAAACCCCAGACAACAACAAACCAAGCATCATTCAGAATGATTCAAAATCCAGAATACAAATCAAACCAAGCATTTTTCAGAACACAGACATGAGACATCCAAAAACATTCACAGGTACTTACCAATCATCACACTCCACCACAGA